AGCGTCAGTGATGAAAGAAAATTAGTAAAATGTATATGAAAATCTTCCTCTTTTCAGTATGGGGTGTGCCGTGGGACTCAGAGTCAAATCCCAGCCCACCACTTGCTCCTTGAAATTGCACAAGACCCAGATCAGCCGGCCCCACCCCTGTCCAGCCTTGCCTGGAGGGGTGCGCAGTCTCAGATTTCCCAGTGCATGCCAAATGGGGGTGGAGCCTTAGGTCCCAGGCCTGGCCCAGGGGTGTGCCTTGTGGTCCCCCGTCAAGCCCCGCTGGGTAGCGGGGCTTGGCCTGAGGTTCCCTGGCATGGTGCCAGTGCTGGGGGGAGTGGCCCGAGGTCTCCCATCAAGCCCTGCCAGGTGGGGGTGCAGCCTGAGGTTCCCTGGCCCAATGCCAGGGTGGAGGGGAGCTCCTTGAGGTCCCCTGTCAATCCCCACCAGGTTGGAGACATGGCCTGAGATTCCCCTTCAAGTCCCGCCGGGAGGGGGATGCAGCCTCAGGTCCCTGCTGATTGCTGGTTAAGTCTCATTATGGGAGCTTAGCCTCTGCTTGGGTGCAGACATTTTGTTACAGAAACACCTGCCACTATTATGTGCGCCACAATATTTGTGATGTTCATTTTGCATATTCCCTCTTCATTAAATAAAAAACCAGGTTGATTTTGGAGAGGAAAGGAAAGGGAGGGAGAGATAGAAATATCAATGATGAGAGTGAATCATTGTTCAGCTGCCTTTTGCAAGCCCCACACTGGGGATTGAGCCGGCAACCCAGGAATGTGCCCTGACTGAGAATCAAACTGTGACCTCCTGGTTCACAGGTTGATGCTCAACCACTGAGCCACGCTGGCTGGGCTGCACAACTGATTAGCCTCGCAACTGTTGCTTTCAACTTAGGAGCTGGGAATCTTGCCCTGAGGATGAACGGCTTACGAACTGATAAACACCTCAAGTGGAAACTGCACATTGAATCTTGGGCTCATTTCTCTAAGGTTCCTGCTTCCATTTCAAATCTCACACTCCATGGCTGTGGGGAGCCAATATAGGATTAAAAGCCTCTGACTGACCTGTTGGCAAAGCCAGATACAAGTCCCAGCTTAGAGGGCACAGTCCTCTTAGCATAATTAGGCTTGACCTTATAGGGCTCCCTAGATCTTCCCTGGGAAGCTAATGGGCTGAGGGTAGTGCAACAAGAACAAAAACAAGTGAAATACACCAGAACAATGTAAACAAGTGAAACTCACAAGAATAGTGTAACTTTGGTAACCACTACCTTGTTTACCTCTGGCTATAAAAATAAAGGCTCAGTTTGCCGCAGGATCTTTCCCTGTGGCCTCAGCCAGGCACAGGAAGATCCACAGAGACTAAAGGGAGCTACAGAGTTCTGAATGCTGTCTCTGTGTAAAACATTCTTCGCCGACTCCATCCACACTTTTGAGAACCTCTGGACCCCTGGGGTGGACCCCGGCACATGGCATCTCTGAACTCCAACTTCCTTCTTCCCAGCCAACTGAAATGCCACAAGCCCTGGCAACCTCTTTCAGCTCGGTCTCTGTTCGTTGCTCTATGAGCTAGTAAATGTTCTGGGTGGGGGAAAGCACAGGTAAATGTGGGGCTTGCCTAGGTGCTCCCACATTCTCTCCAGCAATTTCCTTCAGGTTCTGTCTGACCTGATTTTTCTCTAATACCTTCAGGTGCTTTCAGTATTTTATTCAGCTTTTCTACCATATAAGCTACACCGTCACCCGCAGATGTGGAGGTTGGATGTACTTTATGCTCATCCACAAATGTTCTAAAGCTCCAAGGTACTGACTGGTTTAGGTTTCATTCACTCCAAATTTCTGACTGTTTTCTTACCCCTTCCTTACATGTTGGGGAGCACAAGAGACTTGGTTGGAAAGTTTGTAAGGAGGATGTTGTGATAAAAGGGAAGTGTGGGAAGGCCGACTGCTCTGTTTACCTGAATGCAAACTTAGGAGAGACTGAGGGGAGTGTTGAAGGCGGTGCCCCTAATTGTTCCCTGATCGTGGGAAAAACCGGCTTTAATAGCGGGGTGGAGCGAGGGGATTGCGGGCCCTGCCGATTGGCCAGGCGTAAGCGGGGTCTTGTTACACAGGATGTGGTCATATCTATGGCAAGCACTTCCCTTGTCATTGGTTAGTTTAAAATCCCGGGCGTGGCCAGCAGAGGCCTGGGCTTCCGGGAAGAAGGCCGCACGTGGCCCCAACATGGAGGATACAGGCAAGATGGAGGGCATAGCCCTCGCCCTTTCATCCTCTATCACCTGAGTTTCCAAGGCCACATCTAAAGCTTTCCGGGCTTCAGTGTAAGTGGGACACGATGTACCTACACACCGCTCTCAGCCAAATCCAGTGATTGTGCTGGGGGAGGGACTGTGGCCTGGAAAGATTACTGAATGTGCTGGGGGAGGGACTGTGACAGAAAAATTACTGATAGTTTTAAAGAAAGAAAGTGGTATGATATGCTCCAGCCAGGTGTGACTCTGTTTACCTCCCCTTTGTACTTATGATCTTTTTATGAACTTCTAATGAAATGCTTTGTAACTGGTTTTTTCTTTTTTTCTAACACTGTGATTTTGCTATAAAGGATCATAGGGCACCCTTGGTCTCTGCCACATGCTTCAAACCTTCCCAGAGGGGGAGGGTGCAGGCTGTGGTCAGCTGGCCAGCTTAATAAAGGCTCTTAAATTTAAATTCTGAGTCGGTGGTCTATCTCGCTGATTGAACCCATAACAGTGCCCTCATTTGGTTCTTCGTGTTCCACAAGGCATCGCAGTGGAACCCAGGGGGCACTCCGCTCGGGCGGAGACTTGCTTCCCTTGGTCTTCAGAACACTGTTTCTCCGGCCCTTCCCTTCCCTTCCCTCTCTGCTTCTCTTCCTCCCCGGCCCTCGTTGCCCAGTGCCCGCCAGGTGAGCTCCCTCCCGGGCCGCCAGACTCACCTGCCACACTTCCACTTCGCGTTTCCCTTTGTGTCCCGCAAGGAAAGGCCGCCGGCGCTCCTGGGGCTCCCTCCGGCCCGGCTCCGGGGGGACGGGTCTAGCCCTGAACTTCTGAGGGGCCCGCGGCCGCCTCGCAGACGGTGAACAGCGCACGGGTGCGCCCAGCGCGCACCAACTCCACCAGCCGTGCGCGCGCCTCCATCACCGGAAGCTCCCTCCTGGAGGCCCGCCCTCGTGGGCGGGGCTACCTCGTCCCGCCGCGTTACAGACAAAGCCCGACCCCGCGGTCCAGGCTGCTTTAGGGTCTCGGCCGGACCCTGGGGCTGTGGGGACCGGAAGGGAAGCCCCATGTCCTCGGGGGCGGTGCTACCCCGTCCTGCCTGGTTAAAGTTCAAGCTGCGAGCCCTGGTCTGTGCAGTGAGTGCTGGTGGTCTGGGGTGTTGTTGTTAGAAATGCTCCTAAAAGGCGCCACGGGAACTTGAGAATCGCTCGGTAAGGCCAATGTACTTCTCCGAAAGCGTGCAAGGCCAACAGGAAAATGTTGCCCGCCCTAGCCCCGAAGGGGAAATCTGTCCACCATGTCGCTGAGTCATGGTCCCCCCCCCCCCACCCCGCCTCGCCGCCTCCGCCCCTTATTGTCTTAAGGGCGTGCTTTTCCAATCTGGCCCTAATGGCAAATTCCAGCAGCGGGAGGGGTGGGGCTGTTATTCCAGGTCCAACTGAGTACCAGCAAATGGGGTTTAACCATGTAGAAGTAAGTGGAACAACACCAGAAAGTTGATCTAAACCTCTATAAGAAGGAAAGGAAGTTAGCAAAGTTAACGTAAAAAAAACCATGGAAACGTGTAAAGAATTTTTGTGAGTTTATTTGAGCCAAACTGTAAGGAATTGAGATAATGCTGCAGAGAATGGCGGGTTACATTAGTATTTATACATTGCAATCAAAGGAGGGATGTAGGTGGGTTACATGAAATTCATTGGTGATAGATTAAGGAGGAGGGATAAAGCAAAGCAGGGGAAACCCCTGGGATTGGATAAAAAGTAAAATGATGGACACATACTTAGGTGGGTGCAGGATCAATTCACATGATAATGAAGGAATTGGGGTATCTGTCCTGGTGCCCAGCAGATTTGGTTGTGCCCCAGGGGCTGCAGAAAAAGGGAAGTTACAAGTTACCCAGACATTTCAAGAGTATGTTATCATAGATGCTGGGGACCAAAGGGACCACATGCTGACCTGACAAGCTCTGGAGAGGCCTGCATGGCAGTTTTGCAGACTCGGAGTCCTAAAGTAACCACAAAGGATGGTCTGAAATTAAACTTTAACTAAAAGCAGTTATGGCGGGAGGTTATGTCCTAGGACAGTATCTTCACTGACATTTGCCTTTTTGCCTCTAAGATAATATGCCCTTGAAATGTCTGGGTAACTTGTAACTTCCCTTTTTCTGGAGCCCTTGGGGCACAACCAAATGTTCTGGGCGCCAGGACAGAT